CTACACATAGTAAATCAAATCATTTATAGTTCTTCTTCGTTTTTTTTAAATTTGTTCCGTCCCGCATCATGGACGCGGATGCGAGGTGCTATATAGTGCTACGCTATTATAGGTATCACCGAGATAAGCCAACGACCAATGACCATCGCTTATCGATAATTTTAGTCGCTCATTGCGAAAATGCGTTCTACGACTGAATAACGATAGCTTACTACTTACAGAAATAATTTTTGCGGGACGACGCGACGTCCTGATTCATCTTTCTTCGTCGAACTATAATAGAAGTATGTGTAAATGTCTAGACGAGACATTTTTACTTACGCATCAAGAAACGTTATATAGGAAATATTACGATAATCACGATATTTGCGAATAATGTAATTAATTATTTTTATTACGATAATCACGATATTCGCGAATAATGTAATTAATTATTTTTTAGTAATATTTCTTATTTTTACATATATAATCTTGTATATATAAAAATAATATATATATATGTATTCTAATTAAATTTTTTACTGATCTAATTAATAAAACATTACAACTAACAAAAATGCAAGATGTAATTATAATAAATATACAATTTGGGCAATAGAACAAATTGTTTAATAAATCGTTCTGTAGAAAACGAAAATACATAGCGCTTTAATACACATGTATACGTAATTAAACATTTACTTTATAACGTGAAAGCAATATCATATAATCGTTTGGAGTGTATTATGCATTCTTATTTCCACTCTTCCAGTATTATTATTAATGTCAAAACTGAATCTTCTTTGTTTTAATTTTTTGGAGGAAATGGCCCCTCTCCGATAGGTCTGTTATCGTTTTCAATTTTTCCAGGAACACATTTAGCTTTATATCCCAGGCATACTAAATCACGACAGCATTGTTCGGTGAGCTGGCACTATAATCATAACGATTCGTTAAACAACAATGTCTTCCGTTATAAATACGTATATTGATTGCGATATTAGAAATTGTGATATTAAATTATAATTAGTTAAAGTTGTAAAAAATATAATGTGTACACGATTTTCGTATAGAGAAGAAATCACAAGCGCACAATTATTATCTTTACTTTTTGTTATTTCTATTATTACTTACATATCCGAGCCAGGGAGAGCATACAGCCTTAGACTCCGTAGAACTTGGAGCAGTCGTTATGCCGTTGATAGCGACTATGACGATTAAAGCGAATACCAAGTACTTCATTGTAATGGAGAAATCTTCTGCAAATGTTTAATAGAAAAAGTAAATCAAGACTGAGTATACTCAGCGTGACACTTGATGAAATTGTGACTATAAGGAGAGGAAAAATGACGTAAGAGCTAAATTATTCTTGCAACGTACAGCGCAAAATGAAAAAAATTATTGTTGTAGTATGTTAAAATATACTAAATATTCGCATTTTATTACTCTCTAAATCTAAATAAGTGAAAAGTCACTGGAGTGGCATACTTTAGACTGATATGCCACTCCAGTGACTTTCCACTGATTTAGAGAGATACAATGTAATATGTGAAAGCAAATATTTATTTTAATTCGGCAACTGTTGAGCAGTTAATTTTTTTCCTTGATTAAACATAATTTGACATATATGGATTATTTATTAATTACCCAAATAAAAAAAGTTTTCGATATGTTTTACAAGTCTGCTCTATATCGATTACAAACACTATTTTATTGAAAAATGTTTCTATTTTAATGTACGTTGCAAGAATTCTTATAACGTATTTTCTCGCTTCAACGTCAATTCAAGATGAATGATTATAGTGTATCTGAATACATTTAGAGATTAATGACACTCGAATATATATGCGCGATTAACGATATTAATTAAAAGAAGAATGCGCATATTTTTCAATTAGCATACGTATATAAAACTGTAAGTAATACTATTAAGTTAGATACCGAAAATTTTCAAAAGACGCTTATGACTTAAAGAGACTCACTCAACTACAATTATATGACGGACACTCGTAAATTTATAGAGCAATCATCATAATCTTATTTGAGAAATCAAAGCCGATAAACTCCTATCATCAATATGTTTATTTTTTCTGTCTATAGATATCTCGGAAAAGATATGGATCTGATAGTTTACTTAATCTTATTAAACTTACTATATTACCTGCGCATAAATATTTTGCGAATATGAAAAGTTTGTATTAAAATTTATTTAAAAATTAATTATTTTTTAAAAATTCTTTCTTGGGCTCTAAATACTAAAAAAATATGTAGTAGTAGTAGTAATAATAATAACAATAATAATAATTTATTTCTGCCTTTTTGCGGGGTACAAAAGGACTCCTTTTACAAAACACTTATCTCTATAGCCCGCCTCTCTCTCTCTTTCTCTCTTTCACCTATTCCTTGCGGCCGTACAACTTACCGCTCTCTCTTCCCTTTCTCCACCGCGCTTTTCTTTCTCATACTTTCTCTCTCGTCTTTCCTCGCCGCATATAGGTATATATACGTTTTTACATTCTACGTTCTTTATAATTACTATTTACTATTTAACAAATTACAGTTTATAATTTACTGGTTCTCCACTTTTTATTACGATTTTTTTTCTCTCCACTCTGTCTTCTTTTCCCTCCGTCTTCTTTGTCCCTTTTATACTTAATATTCCTCCACAGATGTAAAGAATATATTTTTAAATTTTAATTACCGTCTTTATTATAAAAGAATTATTATAAAACGTTTTCAAGACTACAAAATATTATAGATATAATTTGTAAAATAAGATAAAGAATGTAAGAATAAAAATTCAATATTAATAATAGGAATGAATAATAATTGATAGTAATTAATATAAGGTCAAAATTTTTTGAGGAAGTCGTTTATTTTTATTGTAAAATGGAAATTTATACGCCTCATCCATCAAACAGCACAGCAATAATTATAGGACATTATTGCTGTGCTGTTCGATGGATGAGGCGTATAAATAAACAGGCGCTTAAATAAACATGGAATATTTCTCAATAACGACACTTACACACTACCTGACGACTTGAGGCAATATTACTCGGAGGTACCGGAATATAAGGCAAAATGTCCAATGTATTGCAATCATTACATTTTGCCTTATATTCGAGTAACTCCGAGAATGGGCGACGATAATAGTAAAGATGGAGAGTGAAGAGGACAAGTGGAAGGTATTAGATGCAAGGAAAAAGGAAGGGAGCAGATTGAGAGTGAAAATGGATGAAGATAAATCACTGGAGACGAGGGTAAGAGAAAGAGAGGAGAAAGGCTGCCGGCTGAAAATCCACGGATTTACCGACACCTCCGAGCGGGCTTACGCAGTCATCTACTTGCAGACCGAAGACGAAAGCGGAAGAGTAGAGGTAAGGATGGTGGCCGCCAAAACTAAATTCGCTCCTTTAAAACAGGTGACGTTACCTCGGCTCGAGTAATGCACTGCTACGCTTCTCACTCGGCTAGCTGCTCACATTTAGTTCATCCGTACGTGGCAAACAGGGTGAGCGAGATCCAGATCTCGCTGCCGGACGCACTGTGGCACCTCATCCCCGGACGAGACAACCCGGCGGATTGTGCCTCTGGAGGACTTTCTCCGCGAGAGCTGCTCGGCCATCCACTCTGGTGGCAAGGGCCATCTTGGCTTCGGGCGGAGTCTGGACTGTGGGGGGCTCCTCCGACGACGATCGAATACCGTCGCGCGATTCTCGGAGGAGCTCTACGGAATTGACAATCGGAACAATCGAAATGCGTATATTTTTCAATTAGCATACGTATAAAACTGTAAGTAATACTATTAAGTTAGATACCGAAAATTTTCAAAAGACGCTTGGACACTCGTAAATTTATAGAGCAATCATCATAATCTTATTTGAGAAATCAAAGCCGATAACACCAATCGATAAACTCCTATCATCAATATGTTTACTTTTTTCTGTCTATAGATATCTCGGAAAAGATATGGGTCTGATAGTTTACTTAATCTTATTAAACTTACTATATTACCTGCGCAAAAATATTTTGCGAGTATGAAAAGTTTCTATTAAAATTTATTTAAAAATTAATTATTTTTTAAAGATTCTTTCTTGGGCTCTAAATACTAAAAAAATATTCAAAAAATAATTAAAAATGATCGAACCAATGTAAAAAGTAGTAGTAAAAGTAGTAGTAGTAAAAAGTATGTAGTAGTAGTAGTAGTAGTAGTAATAATAATAATAACAATAATAATAATAATAATTTATTTCTGCCTTTTTGCGGGGTACAAAAGGACTCCCGCTCCTTTTACAAAACACTTATCTCTGTAGCCCGCCTCTCTCTCTCTTTCTCTTTTTACCTATTGCTTGCGGCCGTACAACTTACCGCTCTCTTCCCTTTCTCCACCGCGCTTTTCCTCCTCATACTCTCTCTCGTCTTTCCTCGCCGCATATAGGTATATATACGTTTTTACATTCTACGTTTTTTACAATTACTATTTACTATTTAACAAATTACAGTTTACAATTTACTGGTTCTCCACTTTTTATTACGATTTTCTTTCTCTCCACTCTGTCCACTTTTCCTTCCATTCTCTTTGTCTCCTTATACTTCATATTTCTTCACAGATGTAAAGAATAAATTTTTAAATTTTAATTACCGTTTTTATTATAAAACGTTTTCAAGACCACAAAATATTATAGATATAATTTGTAAAATAAGATACAGAATGTAAGAAGAAAAATTCAATATTAATAATAGGAATTAATAATAATTATTGATAGTAATTAATATAAGGTTAAAATTTTTTTCGGAAGTCGTTTATTTTTATATATCTTCAATATTTTTTTGTTTGTTACACTAGAGAAGCTGACCGCAGCCTATGTCGCATAGTATCATGCCGAAAAATTTGAATGTGGCGAATGCAGCAAGTGCGGTAAATGCGACGATGACGAAAAATTCGAATGCAGCGAATGTGGCGAATGCGAAGTTAGACAAGACTCATCTGTTGCAAAAGTACCTACCTCGATCTATCCCAACCGGAAAATGAGATCCAGGTGCAGTACATCTGGATCGACGGAAGTGGCGAGGAATTATGTAGCAAGATCAAAACTCTGAGCTTCGTGTCAAAACATCCTTCCGGTAAGCGTATTAATAATCTGATAGTTAATTAATTAATACCGGGATAGTTAATTAATTGTTGAAAATTGTCATTGAAAAAATCGTGTCGAGTTTGCCCCGAACGTCGTTTTTCACTTTTGTCACTCCAAAAACATAAAAAATTTTAAAATATGCAAGAACTATTATCGGATTTGTATAGAGCATCAAATTTTCCATCAAATTTTCCATTCCCATGGAGGGCCTTTAGAATAGTCCATTTTTATCAAATAAAATTTTATTTAACGGTATAATAGAAAATGTGAAAAATTATATATATGTGTTGTATGTCGGTGAAGTTGGCATATCATTTTCTAGCAGATAAAAAATAAAAGAGAGTTCTTGTCGCATGCAGTCGAGTTCTATAGTTCCTGATACTTTTTAGCGATAGTTCTGGTAATTTTGCCAAAAAATCCATTGAAAAAATTATCTGCTAGTTTTCCATAGCATGGAGTGAAATGCCGATGAAATCTCGGAGTTCCGGTTAAAACATTTTTCCAATAGTTCTGAACACACTGAAGCATTTTATAAAAAGTTCCTGATACTAGCAATGTTACATGATTTTTTTATAAATTAATACTGCCCGAAGTACTTAAAGAGAATAGAGTGATATGCTGTATGAAATGTCGGAGTATCGGTTTATCTAAAATATTTTTTGAATAGTTCTGAGCATACTGAAGCACTTTCTGAAGAGTTCCCGACACTAGCTATATTGCAAGATTTTTTTATAAATTTATATCGCCCAAGAGTCGCGTACTTATAGGGAGAATAGAGTGATATGCTGTACGAAATGTCAGAGTTTCGGTTTATGTAAAATATTTCTTGAATAGTTCTGAGCATACTAAAGCATTTTCTAAAGAATTCTTGACACTAGCAATGTTGTATGATTTTTTAATAAATTTAAATCGTCCGAGCGCCGCGTACTTAGAGAGAATAGAGTGATATGCTGTGTAGAATCTCGGAGTTCCGGTTTATATAAAATATTTTTTGAACAGTTCTGAACATACTGAAACATTTTCTAAAAAGTTTCCGGCACCAGCAATATTGTATAATTTTTTAATAAATTAATACCGCCCAAAAGCCGAGTACTTAGAGAGAATAGAGTATTCTTCCCCCATTATAATGTGCTCCAAGAAGATTGTATCGCATTATAATAACAAAGAATGTTCAAGAGTAGTGCAAAATCCTGCAAAATTCTGCGTGATTATCATTAAATTAACACTACACGCAGACACCGTGGGCCTTTTAAGGCACAGTCGATTTTTCATTCATAATTCTCACGGGACGCTTGTGTCAGCTCCCCTGTCTAAAAAAAACTTGGTTCCAGCAATAGGCTACATAATAGATGTAAGCATAGAAATCACTTTTTGAAACCTCAAAGATGATACATAAATTTTTATAGATTTTTTTAACACTTTCAAAGAATCGCCGCTTTCAAAAACTCGCTTTAAACTTAAAATTCCCAGTAGGGTATCTGGATGAGTGCTTCAAAAACAATTTAATGCACAATCGTGTAAATCACACTCGAAAGAACGTGAGAAGTAGAGAAATTATCGAATGTAAATCATTTTTTAAATGTAAACATAAAAAATTATTTTATAAAGAACTAAATATTTTGAGAACATAAATGGCTTAATAATAAGTTTTCCATAACAAACATAGCATATTTTATTCTTTAATTTTTGGTTTTTCGTAGGAAATTGTTTCGAAACGCATAGGAAATTATTTCGGAAAAGAACCGAAGACTGTGGTTGTAGCGTTACCCGCTGAAAATATCGTGGACATGGCTACGTATTATAGTTGTTTATTGTTTATTCACGTCCATTTTATGCTCATAGAAGTCATAGAGCCTACCAGTGGACGGTTCCAGGTTCCACTGAAAACGCGAGCATGTCCTACTCTCAGACTTTTCTAACTTTTCTGCTGCAGGTAACAGATGGTAACAGATCTCGAGATCTCAACTAGTTCGCTAGTTCCGCGTCGAGTGGTTCGGGCGTGGTTCCGCGTGTTTCAAACATAACCTTCAATAACCTCTTTTATTCAACCGCATGTGCACTACGCACAAGTGTGAAAAATGGCTAAATCTCTACGCAGTAAATGGAAAAGGAAATGCAGGGCGATCAAGAGAGAACGTTACGCGGTAAAAGAATTAGACAGACTGAAGAAAACTCTTGGTATTGATGCTAATTCATCGAAGGATGTCGAAATGGCAGACATTAGCGAAATCGCTACTGGTAAGATCCACACTAACTGCATTAATTGTTTAGTAGTTTAGTTAAACCCTTATAATGACTGTTTTAGGGCCAGTTTCACCAACATCGATTAACCGTAACCTTCGATTAAACTAACTCTTCGTCTCTTTCTAAGGGGAACAGTTGGAAAGAGATGAAGAGTGAGTTTAATCGAAGGTTACAGTTAATCGACGTTGGTGAAACTGGCCCTTAATGTTGTATACATATATTATAATGTAACATGGTATTATTTTTACAATTAATAGTTGTCAACGCTGAAAAAGTAAAAGAAGATGTGAAGGCTAAGCGGGTCAAAGATGCGGAGCCTCAGACCGAGACAGGTGAAGAACAGATGGAAGTGGAAGGTGCTAGAGTGTATAATAAGAAAACATTACGGGATCAATATGGCAATTATCCTGCGTGGATGAGCCACAGGAAGATAATGAAGCACAAAAAGGGCAGAGCAAAAACGAAAAAAGCAACCAAGAAGCCAGGCAAGAGACTTACTAGACGACAGAAGAAAGCAAAGGAAGAAAAATAAAATTCTTTAATTGTCGAATCAATTTTTATGTTACTTACTAATTTTTAAATATTATGAATATTGCTTTCTTCTTTTGTAAAAATAAAAAAATTTATGAAAGAAAGAATATTTTATTTCTAGAAAAAATTATAAACAAGTATATTCAGTCTAGTATGAATTGATAAGTACAAAATGCCTCTTTGTAATATGTGTAATTTATCCAATGTATGTCTATTCACAGTATTAACTTCAATCAATATTCTAATTTTTTCTTTACCAAATGTTTATCATTAACTGAATGAAACTAGAGATTTCTATATAGTGTCTATTATATAAAGAACCTTTTTATAATTAAATAACAATCATTATACTCTATGTTAAACATTATTTTAATATTATATAGTGCTTTACCTTCATCCATATTAAAATCTATATTAGTATGAAAGAATACAAAAATGTAGAATCTACTTCATTTTATTTTAAAGACATGAGTACAAATACTCATAATATAAAAATTATACTATTACTATTATTAGCTTGATAAATATAACAAATGCTAAATGATGGCAGTGATATTTTACGACAGAAACAATTCCACGTAAATCTAATAGCTACTGTTACGTCAGTACTTTGAGATTAAAATGGCCAATATTGCTTTGTAGTTTGAAAATTAAAATAAATATTCTGGTTTTAAATGTACAGCATTGTCTCCTGTATAAACAAGTCTCTGATTTAAAAGTATTATTAAAATTGTCTTCACATATCCTAAAGGCGCAAGAAATTTATAATGAAAATATATCGCTATCTACGTAAAGTAGTATAGCAACACTATCTACTACTAAAATATCAAATAAAATAGTAGATAGTACTACTATTCATTATTAAGTATCAGATTGTATTGATAATAATTTTCGCGTGACGTTTTAGTAACTCTAGAAGTTCAACGATCCTGCACAAATTATTGATATCTGCAACGTATTCTCAAACGATTTTCTAATTCCGCGACGCGATTCATCAGATGATGTATTTTTCTTATTTCTGCTTCATATTGTCTCATTTTGGTTCTCATGTCATATACTTCTTGTTGCATCAGTTGCTAGAACAAATAATTGCATAATTCATAAACAATATAAATTATGTACATTTTACTAATACACTTTGATCTCAATATAGTGTAATTTGAGGTAAAAAGTATATAAAGAAGAATTAAAATTATACTATTAAATCATAACATTTGTTAACTTATTTGTTTCTTCCAAGAGAAAATTTGTAAAAGTCGCTATTACTGAAGTAACAGATTGAGAGATTTTTAAAATAAATCGCACAACAAAGTAAATCGGTCACAAAGATTGTAATATCAAAATATCAAGATGATATACGTTTTTTATGCTGAATGCTGAAAATCTACTCTTTTATATTATAAGAAATATACATATAATAAAGAAAGAATTTCCAGTAATAGTACCACTTCTTACATTAGATCAGTGATGAAACAAGATTTGAAAAGAAATGAAAAATAAATATTTTTGCGCATATTTATTTACATGAGTTATTATTTATATGCGCGTCTTCTCACATGCACTAAATAATTTTAAATGGGCAAAATTATTTACGAAATTTCTGCTGTGCACTATATTGTGATTTAAGTGTATAATATTTTAATGTTCCTCAAATACCACATTTTCGACGGTTCTCTTCATTTCGTTAATACTTTCGACCGCCAATGTAACTTTAGTGTTCATCTCGGAAGCCTCTGTATCTCTCTTTCTGTTTCTGGCTACTTGCTGAAGAATTAATATATTTCCTCATCAACTACATATCGTATTAGTAAACATTTTTAACCTACCTTTTCCAATTTAATCAGTCTCTTTAAGATGACCTCGTAGTCTTGATCATCGTCGCTAACTTCATTTTCGGTATCTGCAATTCATCGATGTTCATTATTTTATATATTAATTTATTTATGTATTTTATTATAAACTTTTTGTTTTACTGGCGTGAATTGTATATTATGTTCACTAATATTATAAACAATAACTCAGAACTACCCGCGCGTGTACAGATTTTTAAATCTGAGGTATTATTTATACATATATAGAATTAAATCTTAAAAGCAATCTTAAAATTTATATATTTCAAATGAAAATTTAACAGAATTTTAAGATTGTATCATACATACCATGAAAATCAGTTGGATCCTTTGTTGCCGACACGTCATGAAAATCAGTCTCTAAATCGCGTGCCTCAAAAGCATTTTCGTCTGTGTCTGCAGAAAATAAACCAACTCTTAAAACTATTCTTCGAAAAATTCTGTCTTAAGTTTCAAATTTTGCAAACCTACCATTTCTTCGACAAGATTGGCCATCTTGTTGAAGTTGAAATCCGACTCTACAGTGACATCGATATCTACCAGGTAGATTTGTGCAAAGTTGCCCGCATGGTTTCTCCAGCACACATTCATCCACATCTGCGCGATAAAGAATATAAATTATAAATAATATTTAGTTCATTTTCAAAAAGTATTAAAATTAACATAACGTTACACGCATTATCTTATCGAAAAATAAAGAATTAATTTTTAAATAATTTAATAAAAAATAGAAAGTTATTAAAAATTGAAAAATAAAAGTTTTAATAAATTGAAATTAGAAAAGAACACAGGTATAGTTAACATTATGTTATTTGATTAATTTTTATATACAACGTACATGAAATTATATTTAATTGGAATCTTATTATATAATATGTTGCAATTCTTAACATATTTAATATAAAAAATTGCATTTTCTAATTTCTTTTTTATTAAACTAGATATTATTCATCTTTTCTTATCGCTTCATTAAAATCGTAGTTTTATTAAATTACTACATAATAATATATGTATAATTAGAGACGATCGATCTTAAAAGTAACGACATATGAGAGTCCGTCGCCTCGTTAAAGCATGAAGAACATTCAATCGATTACTCGGTTACGAGTGCCTTCTCGTGCCTGGTATCGTCAGACGTAATTAAATCGACGTGGAACGATATACTTCTCGATAGCATTACGCCAAGCTAACTGCGGCACAATACGTATATTGCAGTGTCCTGCATGTCCTGCTGCATCGGTCGGTTGCAACCTCGATAGATTTACGAGCGATTCCATTGCTCTACACGGATGTTCTGATCACCACTCTCTTGTATATATTATGTGAGCTATTTACTATTAAGATTGCAATCACGACTATGACCAAAAGATCGACTTATTTAAAATGTGCATGGATGTCAAACTTTTCTTGTCTTTACTTAGCAAGGTCTCTCGCCATATAAATACCTTATCATATTTGAGATAATAGATAAACTAAGTATTTAAATTAAATAAAAAAATTTTTTTTATAAACTTATTAAGTCTGCTTTATTTTGCAATATGACGTTATTTTTTGCCGCTTTAATTGTGGACTACATATATTATATATAGTGTTATTTAAAAAATATTATATATATATATGGTAATTTATGTACATATCTCTTCAATTCATAAATCGTGTAATTTTCTCGAAGTTCATAATGAAAGACATCACATGCAATCTAGATATCTATATGTTTAATTTGTAAGTAAAATTAAAATTACCTGTTTGGCATTGATTGCCGGTATATCCTTTGGGACATGTGCATTTGCCAGGAGATGTACAAATTCCACCATTTAGACATGGCGTTGGGCATATGGCTAGAAAACAATGAGATTAAGATTAATGGGCTTATATAGTTGAGAAAAACACAGTTGAGTAAAAAAAATGTGTAAGTATAATATTAAATATGCATTATCTTCTATATTTTATTATTTACATATTTTATTAATAATTTAAGTTAACTCAATTTTTTAAATTATTTTTTGAATTATTTATTAAAAATTAAAATAACATTTAAGTATTGGTACCAAAAAAATTTTATAATTAATTTCTGTAATATTTTTTACAAATATAATTATTCTGTAATTATATTTTAATTTGTTACAAAATGTTAGAAATAAATTTTGTCAAATTTACTTACGTTTATTACAACCGAAACTCAAGTGAGTAGCTTGTGACCATCCCGGACAACAAAAGAAACTAGAAGTCATCTCAGTGTATACTAATCTAGGATATTTCATAAATTTCTTTAATTTATTTAAAAGTAATTTATAAAACACATACAAAATATTACACGCTGTAGTGAAAAACTATCTTTTATTACTCTTGTAAACTTAAAAATATTTGTATTATAAATATTTTTCTTTAGACAATATTTATTCTAAGGTAAAATAAGTTAATTTATTTAATTTAAATAAGCGAAAGCTCTTAATTTTGTGAGAGGCATGCAACATACCTAATTTGTCTTCCTCGATGATGGTGAGAAACTGCAGGAGTTTGCCTAGTGCATACTCGCCTCCTGAAATGCAAATTGTTAATTTTTAATTCTAGAAAAGAAATAACTTTTTGTAGATTAATTTCTTGATGCACCTGTGAATTAAAATTGATTATATATGCTGATGTAATTAGTTTATAATATAAATTTGAAATATTTATTATAAATTACATAAATATTGCTTAAATTTATAAGAAAAATTTAAATCCTATGATTATTGTCTAAGAGAAAGTAAATTATTTAATAGACTAATTAGATTTACACATTATGCTGTACATATATTAAATAATTTTTCCAAGAAAAGATTTTAAAAGATATCTATTTTTGACAGTTGTTTATTTAAATTGATACAAAACTACTCGTATTATCATATACATATATATAACTAATAACAATAATAATAATAATAATAATATCGCTATATTTGAAAGCAAACTGGATGTATAAAAGACATCACAGAGATGTTATCAGTAAAAATCTTTCATGAATTCTTAAATAATCCTTTCTTTGGATCTCGCATCTCGATTTCAGCTTTGCATTTTGTTATTATATGACTTATGCGATGGAGAAATTAAATCGGCAAGTCGATTATTTCGATAGCCATCGTAAACGATATCCCTTGTCGTGTCCCTTCCAGCCAAACTGCTCGCTAAAGCGCAGTCATTTGAATGGTAAAATACGCAGAAGACCGGTTAAATCGTAAAATACGAAGGCCGATTGAATACACGTTCGAAATAAGTATTTGCGTTGGCGACGATATTACGGCTTGTCGTTGCTCGAGCTGACTCCGGAATTAAGCTTACGTGACAGAACTCAATATGAAAGATTGCATTTGTGATTAAGGACCAGTATTTTGGAAGCAAAAAGAATAATATCATTCTATGACTTGGAAACAAGATTAAATATTGATAATATCGCCATATCATTTAGCAGAAAGTATCACGACGGCACAGATAGCGGAAGGCTCTCAACGTCTCAACGGTTCATAAAGGAAACGAATGCTCGCTCGACAGAACCACTTCGTCATCGTCAGGCCATAGAAAATTGCATTTCGCCACGTCGATGTCGTGTTTGCTGAAACGCGACAGAACATTTACTGTCGCAACAACGAATACCGCGGGGACACGGTGGTCTCTGTCCACGTTCGTTTCATGCTCAGGAGGCAACAGGCACGAGGAACGGCGATCTATCGCCGAGTAAGTCTGCTCGATGTGACTGCAGACTGCATAAAGGACTTATACGCTCAAATTCGCCGCCATGAAATATTAACTCGTAGTCCACAGTCCACATAGTTCTCGACCCGTTTTCTTACCGCACATGCAGCATTAAATACGCTCCATCGATTTCAAGTCTTTGTTTATATCGCGTTTATGCATGTAACGTGTTACTTTGTACACGGACATAGCATTTATAATCTCTTATATACGATAATCATTTGCATAATCATTTGCATAATCATTTGCGAATCGAGAGATACAAGATTAAAAAATATTTTTACTCGGGATTTCATTTTTAATATAATATTTCATTTAATAATATAAATTATATAAAGACAAATGCGGAAGTCACATTCAGCCTTGTGATCCTCAGGTACTAAATGCAGAACCTCTGGTTCTTTAAACATTCTCCATTAATGGCAGGTGGTCTGAGGAAAGCCAAGGTTAGATGTCGAGAATCCGCAAGAGTATGCCAAGGAGTAAGGACGAACGTTTATGATCGTATAGGAGAGAAAGGATTAGAAGGATTAGCGCAGCAGGTGATCGTTTATTGCGAATGTTCTGACTATTTGAACGGCTTGCATGATGCCATCACTTTCACCGTCATAAGCTCGTTCAATAAGCTTGCATTTTGACTGACATATTGTTGGCATAATTCCATGAAGCGTTTATTATCTCCAAAGTAAAATGATAAAGAAGTAGTTCGTTTGCAACATTGTCGGTTTGATATTATTTGTATTGTGTTACTAATTTTTTTTTTAATTAACAACAAGAAATTTGAAGGAAATCTTAATTTAAAGTTTAACTTATTTAGGTATAAATTAAAATATTAAGGTATTTAAGTTGTAATAATTTTTTTTTTTTTTTTTTTTTTTTAAGGAAACATCTTGACTTCAAAACTGTTAAAAAATCTATAATAAAAATATGTGAAGTTCGTAAAAATTTGTTTATCATTGATTCTATTTATCAATAAGATTACAATACAATACATGGATAACAATTTAATGAAACTCTTTGTACAAGAAATCTTTTTTAATACGTACATACAGTACTATGCTGCGAGATTGCAATAAAATTATATATGTGCATTTATGAGAGCCAAAAAACCATCTTTTATCTCACTTATTGTTAATATCTCACTTATCTATGATAAATATAATATTTCAACCTTATGCACAATAACTATCTCAAGTTTTCTCTAATATAAGTGCATAAATCGCTTGTAAGCCGTGTTCTTGATTCGCAAAAAATCTCGCGAATCGCGTCGCGCGACGGGGGTTCAGATACGGTTCAGGGGACATTTGTGTGGGAATACTGGTTCGACTGTTGCTCTGACAAGTTCGTTTCGCGCGTCGGTAAACGCCGATAAGATTTTCTCTCCTTCTCTCTCTCTTTCCTTCGTGACATTGGACGGACGTTTTGACAAACGTAAAAATGAAATTGTCACGAGAGCTAAGAGCGTATCTCGCGGTGATAAGAATCGTCGGAGATTTACGGCGCGCAAATGATTTATGACAAGACATCTTAGTTTTTCGCGTAAAACTTCTCATCTCAACGACCAAAGCATTTATGCGCCAACTAGTTACCCGGTACCAGTTTTGTGCGACGTGGGTTAAGGGTCAGTACGCTAAAATGATTGGCGATTTTACGTCGACTAAAACGATTGCAATGTCTCCGTTGATTTTAAACGTTATTCTAATGAGGAACATATTTGCTACAAACAGCTAAGCGTTCATTTGTATAGAAAGATTCAAGACACTCATCTCTTGCTTGAACAGCATTCCTAATCATTTCTTCCTACCCTGATATATGAGATGACAAAAATTAGAAAATAATCAGTAAGCGGAATCAGCATCTCTTCTCAATAGAATTACTTATTCATAGAGATTTAAATATTATATACAAAATTAAATCCATATGATGTTATTTAAAAATCAGTCATATTTGTTTCAAGCTGCAGTCGAATATTTCAACGTGGCATGTGCTTGGCGATGATAATTGATAGATGCAATTTTTTAAAATAAAACGTATTAAAAAATACGTAATAAAATCTCGGTAACATCTCGCATCATATATACGTAACAACCGAAGGCGCCATATATCGCGTGATGCGGTTCACAACGTTCTGACCGAAAGGTAATAAATCCAGAATGAATTACTGCATTGGACGCTCGCATGTCTACGGCTCTCTTAAGCGCTTCCGAAATCTTAGCGGCGATCTCGGAATGGGAACCATTCCTAACATCGCCACGTAGCCCTTAACGTGACGTCGTGTTATCGCGGTCGTTTGTTACGTTCCCTACGTCCATCTGTTGCACGCGTAGATTTTCGCCGACGATGACGACGACAATTTCCTTTACCGTCCCTGTAAGTCTAACGAGCTGCATAACTTCTCCGCGCAACATTGTTGCGGACTGCGTTTTGTGTTTATGCGTCACCGAGGGCAAGCTTGCACAAACGTTTCTTCGTCGAACTGACAGCTATCGGCTCTGTAAACTTTATGAATCTCATAATTCACGCCAGATTTATCAGGCTAATAAAGCTATATGACACTTAGGTTCAATGGGTTTGATTATGTGTACCTATATGTTTCAACATTCTCTTTGCTATAAATAAAACACGTTTACTGCAGTTACAGTTACAGATTTGTAAATAATGTTGTATTTCGTATGCAGACTTATGCATATGTTTATTTATAAAGAGAAAGTTTACAGATATTATTTCTGTAAATCAGTTCTATTCTAATAAGTAAATGAAATTTAACAGAAAATTCTTAAGAAACAATTTGATTCAATTTTGTGATACAAAAATATAAGCAGAATTATTTGATATAATTAAAAAGTATTAATTTATAATTAACATTTGTGCATTTCTATGAAATTAATAGCTAATAATAATAAATTAATATAGTAAAATTAATCAAATAATAAATTAAATGAGAAATATGTTCTATGCATTTATTTGTAAAATCTATTAATTTTTATTGTTTGTATCTCATTGTTTCACGGTTCTTCTAGTCATATATTAATTATATCCAAATACTTAAATAATTATATTTCCACATGTGAAACATATTACCATTATTTAATAAATAATAATAGTACCTTCTAATTTGTAAGTAAAAAAAAAATCACAATTTTGAGAGATATAGTTTCCTGTCGGAAGCTTTCACTAAATTAATAATAAATCCTAACTAAACGGAGTAAAGCATAGATTTTCGTAGAAATACATGACACGTCTTGCACGTCTGGTGGTTAGTGGCAATAAACACCGGTTTTTTATTGCCTGATCTCATAAATGTTAGTCCCGCCGTTTCCTTTTTTTCTCGCGCACCACCCAGATGCGGTGTCATCCAGAAGCGCGTCTCGCAGTTTCCAACTTTGTGCGGTCTGTCGTAAATCAAGCAATTTAACGAGATCAATTTAACAAGATCAAAGTGTGACGATCCCTTTCCTGAATTAGCCATGTACTCATAAAAATCGGATTAAGATTACGGCTGTATTCTGTCATATGATATACTTTCCATTATCGTTAATATCTCTTGCATCTATAAAATGCATACAACGAACTATAAATTGTTACTTATATTTATTCATCATATATTTACCATTATCGTATCAATAATCTATTTTTACCAAATATGACTAATTGTAAGAGAATATAAAAATTATTTTTAATTTTAATATTTGTATTACTAAAAATTAATGCACATTAGTATATTGTATTTTAATATATATAAATTAAATATTGTTTTGTTATTTATGAACAATTAAAAGCATTAGAACAATGTCTTAAAGTAACATTTTG